GCATGGCCTGCTTGAACTTCCTGACCTCCTCTGGTGTTGAGGATTTGCGCACCTTCGCCTCATTGAGCACCTTGATGGCACCATTGGAGACAGCCACACTAGAGGCCATGTTTCTGGAAGCCAGAGGAGATTGGGAAAGAGAAGCAGGGAAGATTGGACCCGACTGAATGCGGCCTCTCTCTCCTGGCCCCTTCTGTTTAGTAGCCATTACTATTTTAGAAGGCTGTTTTGAATTCGGCACTTAAAAGGACCTAAATGTGGTCTTAATTAATTGTTGTAGCTAAATGTTGTGGTTATTGCTTAAAAATTAATGAGTAAATATTTAATTGTTCTCTAGTGACATGCATATTATAAAATTATGTTTAGGTACTACACAGATTACAAAAATATTCTTATTTAGCCATGTCTTTAAAGCAATATGCACTCCCCAACCAAATATTACAAGAAAGCAATATATATATATATATTTTTTTTTTTTTTTACAAAAAGATACAATCTTTTTTCTTTTTTTACTGAATGCTCCAATAGCGCAATTGGTTAGCACGCCGTACTTAGGAGATACAAATTTAAGGAGAACATTTATTAAGTCCTGACCAGACAAAGACAAGAGACAGAATTACATCATCCAGATGAAGTAGTCCATTAGCATGACGTCATAATGACCTCCAAGAGTTTGCAGAGATTCAGACTTAACAAGGGCATCTCTCTGCCATCAAGTCAATGCCGACTCAAAGCGACCCTAAAGGACAAGGTAAAGCTGCCCCTGTCAGTTTCCAACACTGCAACTCTTTGCTTAAGGGAGCAAAGCCTCATCTTTCTCCTGAGGAGCAGCTGGTGCTTTTGAACTGCTGATCCTGCTGTTCACTAAAACAATCTCCAATCTTACACACTTTTCAGATCAGAATGTAAACGATAATTACAGCACAATGTCCTAAGTGTAGAACGTAGGGACCAAAAGCAGAAAGCAATTCTGTTTCAGAGAAACAGTGAAAAAAATCATTTCCAGTGAGGCTTTGAAGAACAAATGGATATTTCTCATAATGATTGTGACCTACAAATGGTACTGTCAGTAGAGATGTACATCCATGTGAGCAAAATCATAGTGCAAATTTGGAACTGAATCATGTCCATCAGTGGGCAGATATTTTTGACACATTTGCAATACTGTTCCTGCAACTATATTTTACCTACAGATAGAAAATGACACTCTTGGATATTTTTGACTTCTCAACTATTAGTAATATATCTTACTTGAAGTCAACTTTCATTAATTACCAATGTTTTTAACAAAGAACCAAAAAAAAGCAAACTGGGGGAAAAAATCAACATTTTTTACCAAGTGAGCAAAAACAAAATGAGAGTAAAGAAGTAGCATTTCCTTATGGAAAGAAGGGAGAAAGATGAATAAGGGGGAAAATGCAAATAATAAATAGAACAGGATAACTTGCTGAACTTGAATGTAGGTGGTGATGCTAAGCTTCACATTTGGATTTCTGCCTCTCAAGTTTACATTTGTCCAATTCACTAGGTGAACGTAAAGTAACAAAATTGAGTACTTTGGGAGCCGAGAACCATGGCGCAAAGCTTCATGGAGACTGGAAATGTGCTGCTGAGTTTTCCAGAGATCATCATTGAGTCTTTTCTGATCCTCCTCTTCTGTTAGTATTGCTCCTAGGGATCCAGTCCATACCTGCAGGGGTCTTATTCTGAACAAGACATGTTTAAACAGGTCTTTGTGTCCGTGTATGACTGCACACAAGTTGTCTCAGTACGGTAGTACCCTCTGTCTTGGTTACATAGGGTTCCTTAAAAAATAAAAAGTTCCAGTCAAAATAGTAGCTTCTCTAGGGATTTGCTGGGGCAGTGAAATTCAAAGCAGAGGTTATGGTGATAGCTTTTGGGGATTCCAAGGACACTAGACAATCATGGGGCTTATTATGAAGAAGTAAGAAAGTGGAAGATGCATTGATGAGAAAGACCAGGGAATTTACACCAAGGAATTATTTTTCCCATCACGACAATGCACCTACTCATTTTTTTTTTAAGGTAAAACTGTTCTGCAAGGACCTCATTGAAAAACTACATCACCCACCCTCTAATCCTGATTTTGCTGTTTTAGACATCTTTGGTTCCCATAATTCAAAGACCATTTCAAAGGAACTCAATTTGAGTCTTTGGGATGCCAAAACTGCAGTTTGATGTGTTAGTCCGGGTTGACTAGAGAAACAAATCCCAAGGCACTAGTGTGTAAGAGAGAACTTTATGTCAAAGAGCAATTGTATCTCAGCCTAGTCCAGATCAAACCCATAAGTCTGATATTAGCCCATATGTCTGATACCAGTCTATAAATTCCTCTTCAGCCTCACACAACACATGCAATAGCACCAAATGCAGGAAGATGACCGGTGGAAAGTCTTGTGGGTCCAATGGTGGTAGAAGCATCTCAGTGTTGGCATGGGCCTCCGCGTGGCTTCTCCAGCTCCAGGGCTCTGGTGGAACAGTGTAGTTCCATCAGGCGTGGCAACAGAAATGTCTCACATAGAAAATGTGTCCGGCCTCCAATGAGCTATTTCTCTCTGTTGCGTCTCCAAGTGAGGTCAGATGTATAAACCAAAGAGCTCAGAATTCTTCATATAAAAGATAGAGAGATACAGCATCTTTTCAAAGCGTATAGACCTACATGGAGATTAGCTTCACGTGTTGATATTTTTGTTTAGTAGGTTTTTTACTTATCTTCATACAGTGTAGCTATTAATGTAAAACCTCAAACCAAACACAATGCCATTGAATCAGTTCTGACTCATAACCCTCTAGGACAGGATTGAACTGCTCCTGTGGTTTTCTAAGAACTGTAACTGTTTACTGCAATAGAAAGCCACATCTATCACTCGTGGAGCAGCTGGTAGATTTGAACTGCTGACTTTGTGGTTAGCAGCCCAATGTGTAACCCATTACACCACCACACCATGGAAAGAGCTCTCAGATCTATTAAAGTGAACCCAAGATAAGAGTAAATGGTGCCCAGCTATCAATCAGAATAGTGTCTAGGGTCTTAAAGGCTTTCATTCACACAAGCAGCCATCTAAGCTAAATCCATACGGAAGAAGCACACCAGCCAGAGATAACAATTACACATTTTGAATATGCTGAGGAGAAAACCACCAGAGCAAAAATTATGAACACACAATTCGTCGAGGGCTATGGGGACAGTGGGATCCCAAAACCCATCTGCAGAGTAGTCAGACTGAGCTGCTGGCAGATCCGCTCTAGCCACAGGGAAGAGTCAAAATCAGCCTTCCTACCAGGCAGAACCATTGTAACCTTGATTATGCTGGATCAACTTTGATACTTGGCCAGTTGATCACTCTATAGACACAAGCTGAATTTGTTCTGGATCCAAGTATTTCTTACTGATTCCATGACAGAAATGTCTTCCCTAGCTTTTTGAATGTTCTTGGGAGCCTTTTCCTTCTTACACATTATTTGTATTATTGTGTGTATACTATTATGTTTTCAACCTTACCACCTTAGCATGATTTTGTTTAGTATTGCTTTCTATTTGGTTTCCCAGCTGTGAAGCACAGGAAGAGTGAATGCATAATGATAACAACAGATACAAGGGAATTCAGGGGTTGGGGGTGGTGATGAATGATAGCGAGGGAAAGGGGATTTGGGGAGTGAATAATGAAGACAGGAGGTGGGAGGGCGCACTAGAATGGATTGTGATTGCATAACTCATTTCAAGGGCAATTTAATCATGGGGGAGGGATGCTCTAAAAATTGATGTGGGGGTGATTGTATAGTTCTCCTTGATATGATTAAGTGATTGTACTACTGAATTATATGTAAATTACTTGCCAATAAAACTGTTGGGAAAAGAGTAAAGCTATGCATGTTATAGCCTATATGTGAATTATATATGTTTATGTGTGCATTTAAAAATTGGAATAGTACAAGCATTCTCAAAAAGAGGCTACATATGAAAATGGGAACTTTTCATTTTCATACTCTCCAAATATTTTTCAATCAGACACTGGTTGCTACCTTGGTGAGGGTGTGCTTCACCAGCTGCTCTGCAGGAGGAGGATGTGGCAGTCTGTTTCAGCAAAGGTTTGCAGCCTTGAGAGCCCTAGCATGCAGTTTTTACTCAGTCCTCATAGGTCCACTCAGAATCCATCCAAAGGCTCTGGGTTTGACTTGTTTTCTATTTCAAATTTTGATATTGATAAGGCTCGGTAAGAGCAGACACTTGTAGCTGTTGAAATCACAAACTCAAAATCTTGGATAGTAAATAAACGAGTTAATTTTGAGTACTTGTTATAAACTAGGCATTATACTAAACATTTTACTCACAGTTATTTTAGATCTCTTAATTTGGGTTCTGATTTTTCTCAATAGAAGAAACAGATTTTGATTAAACAAGTGAGACATATTGCCAGGGGTTACATCACTGTGTTGTAGTTGTATACTAGTCCAGACAGCCTAAGTATTCTGCTGTTGGAAATCCTTAAGAAAGACTATTACTTGTGATAAAATGCCAACATTAGGATATGCTGAAGGTAAAGATGAAGATAATTACCCTTCTTTGACAAGATCATATTAATGGATATATATGAAGAAGTACTTTCTAAACTTACAGTGCCCTCTGAGTAGAATAAAATACTTCACAGTCTTGGTTCATATGTTCAAATGTGTTAACCCTTTTTCTTTGAATCTCGTAGGAAATTTGAACTTTAAAACCTTTAGTCAACTTTGTGGAATCTCTGTGAAATATGGTTTGTCAATTTCAGTGTATTCCATCTTTTCTTAAATGAACCTTCGGTATTTCTAACAAAATCTTCTATCTACTTAAAACTTTTTACCCCCTAGTCGTAAGCATCATATCAAGACTACTAAAACCCCTCAATGTAAGAAACAAATAAATTTAAAAACTCTGTAAGGCTGTTTGATTTGTATACTCTCTTTCATTATATAAGTTGCCTATTTTCTTCTCTTCTTAGGAACATCATCTTCAACGGGCTATTTCAGCACAGCAGGTGTATGGCGAGAAGAGGGATAATATGGTTATACCAGTCCCAGAGGCTGAAAGTAATATTGCTTACTATGAATCTATATATCCTGGGGAATTCAAGATGCCAAAGCAGCTCATTCACATACAGCGTAAGTAGTTACTTTTACAAGTGATTTTACTTGTTCTTTCGTAACTCTTGGCACATTTTTATCTTTTCAGGGCTATTTTCCTTGCCTGTTTCATTGATGAGCATTGGTTTGAGAGTTGTGAAAGCCCGTTTTCAACTTTTTAAATGGTGCTTTGTTTACTTTTGCTTGGCAAAACAAACCAAAAACATTTACCATCCTAATTTTCAGTTTAATGCCAATAAAGGATCTTAATGCTGCATTAGTCAAATAAGAGGAACACTAAGCCACAGATTAAGAAAGTGATGGTTTCTTTCTGTACAGAAATAATAGCATAGTAATATAGTCTTATTAAAAGATGTCTTAGGATCAGCAAACTTGTTCTGTTCTATAAGGGGTTCAATTATAATTGTTTTAAGCTTTGCAGATACTATTCAGCTTGTTGGTACAGTGTAAAGTAAACATACAGGACCATGGCTGTTCTACTAAAACCATGTAAGAGTAGATTACAGGCCAGATTTGGCCCACAGGCCATCGTATTTCAACCCCTAATCTATGTTAAATTTTTATTGTTCTTTATTAAACTAACCATTGGATTCATTTAATATGAACCACTCTTTCTAGTTCAGAATTCCAGCACTACTATATTACTTAAGTAATTTACAAAGAGAAAGTAGGCATAGTATACATTTTGGGTCTTATGATTATTATATTACTATTATGATATTTTGATTTGAACATATTTTTTAGAATAATTCTCTAATTTACTTTTTAAGTGGCATGTCTATGTATTTCCATTCATGTAAGACATGGAGCATAAACATTCTAAGCAGGTTCTAGAAAATAGAATTAAAAAATCTCTGAATAATCTTGTTCAGGTGATTCTGAAATTATGTCATCCTTAGTTATATTAACTAGAAGGCTGTAGTGGACTGGAGTTGGAGTGGGTTACAGCAATTGTCTCAATGGCATTGAGATTTTTATTGAAATATTTTAACTAGAGCCACATCTACTCTATAGCCAGCGGCTCTATAATCTTATAAATGTACACTTTTAGGTTAAAGTAAGATTTCATAAAATAGAGTTAGATTAATGAATTTACATGTTTTATACATAGACTACTTACTGAGGATCAAAGCACAAAACACTTTTCTGGTAAATTAGTGAATCTGATTGTAAGAAAAACCAAAGGTATTATATTGAAAAAGGAATAAATTGCTGACATTGTAATCAAATAATAAAATGTCAGCAGAATTGTAACTTATTTGTTGGGGTTGATTGAAGTCTTTTTTTTTTCCCCAGCAACAATTGAAAAGATATATGCATTCAATTTTTTTAATAGTTTTATTGACATCTTACACAGGCCAATATATACATTCACATACAATTCTATTTGTTCA